TGCATTCATGGGTTTGGCGAACTATTACCGGAGATATGTGAAGGGATTCAGTGCTATAGCGAAGCCTTTGAACCAGTTGCTGAAGTCGGATCAGGAGTGGCAATGGGGAGATGAGCAGGAGAGAGCTTTTGTTGAGCTCAAGGCCAGGTTGGTGGCCGCTCCCATCTTGAGGAGACCTATCAGAGGTCGACCATACCAGTTGCACACTGATTGGAGTATGTTGGGACTTGGAGCGGTGTTGACGCAGTGTGATGATGAGGGCAAGGAGTTTGTGATTGCGTACGCTAGTCGTTCGAACAATGCAGCAGAGTCGCGGTATAGTTCGTACGAGGGAGAGTGTTTGGCAGCGGTGTGGGCTGTGGCACACTTCAGGTGTTACTTGTTTGGTACGCAGTTTACCCTTGTTACCGATCATCAACCGCTCAAGTGGTTGATGGAGTCTGACAAGCTCACAGGGAAGCTTGCACGGTGGGCTCTCATCTTACAGGAGTACGACTTCCAGGTGGTGCATAGGCCTGGAGTTGCGAACCTGGATGCCGACGGTTTGAGTCGGAACCCATGCACTAGCCAGGAGGATGACACTGGAGCTAGGTGGCATGGTGAGGTTGATGAGGAGATGGTGCCCGGTTGGCATGCATCGGCCTTCATGTGTTGGTTTTGTGGGGCCTCTAGCAGTGAGGACCACTTGACATCTTACTCTAGTCAGAGAGTAGATAGTCAGTCTTCGGATCCTGAGGTTGAGGATGGTGGTGTGGACCAGCGTGATGTTCACGATGATGCGTTGGTGTTGGAATTCTTACGGACCAGTATGGTGCCAGGCACAGTGGGTGCCAAGGAGCGAGATCGTGTTCTCCAGAGGGCGAAGAGATATCGATTGGAGGGAGCACATGTTCTCCGAGTGTGGGAGGACGGTAGGGTACGGGTAGTACCGCATCCAACTCAGAGAGCACGCATTGTGAGGCATGCTCATGAGGAGTTGGGACATTTTGGAGTGAAGCGTACGTACAGCTTACTCCTAGGTCAGTATTGGTGGCGTGGTATGCATACGCAGGTGCAGCAGTTGGTATCACGTTGCATGGTTTGTGATCGAGTGAGGGCATCGTTCAATGCCCCGACACCAGAGTTACATCCCTTACCTATCATGGGATTGGGTTACCGTTGGAGTTTGGACTTTGCTGGACCACTACCTTTGACTACACGACATCATCGGTATGTGTTGGTGATGGTGGAGCATTTCTCCAAGTGGATTGAGTTGGTGGCATTACCTGACAAGGCGAGTGAGGGAGTAGCATATGCTTTCCTTGACAGGGTGCTTAGTCACTTTGGTGCACCAGCTGAGGTGTTGACCGATCAGGGGACAGAGTTTCAGGGTGAGTTTCAGGTCTTGTGTGACAAGACACTGATTGATCACCGGACTACTTCCCGAGATCATCCAGAGGCGGATGGTTTGGCTGAGCGGATGGTACAGACGGTGAAGAGAGCGTTGCGCAAGTATGGCCTACAGAAGGGGCATCTTGGGGACTGGGATATTCAGTTACCATGGTTGGCCATGGGATATCGATTCAGTCGTCAAGCATCCTTGGCTTCGTTTTCACCATATTTTCTATTGTACGGCCGAGATCCAGACTTGCCTGCAGCGATTCGTCGTGAGTCTAGCGAGGTGGTGAACCTTGATGATCGAGATATGTGGGTGAGAGTGTGTTCTCAACGTGCAGTGCTCTTTCGGAGAGTTATGCCTGCAGCGTTTGAGAACCTTGCAATTGCTCAGCACCGAGATACGTTGCGGTATGCAACTATTCGAGGAGGAGGTTATCGACCATCGATTCGTAGGTTCCGCGTGGGAGACTACGTCTATCTACAGCAGACTGCACCGACTACGTTGGATGTGACGGCAGGACGCACTATCCTGCGAGTGCGAGAGTTGTTACCTTCTGGAGTTCTCATGTTGGAGGGTCGTGACGGTGTCGTTTGGAAGGATCATGTGCGCAACTGTGCGCCATGCCACCTCCCAAACGTGGATGGTACTATGGATCCAAGCTTGGCGATTGTACGTGCCGGCTTGAGGTGCATGTTATGTGGATCAACTGATCAGGCAGCCCATATGTTGGTGTGTGATAGGTGTTCTAGGGGATGGCACATGTCGTGCTTGACTCCACCTATCGATGTTGTTCCTACTGGACGGTGGGTTTGTCCTCGATGTACTTCAGAGGGTAGATGACTTGATCTTCACATGTTATGAATTGCAGATAGGCGACTAACGATGGGGCGACATAGCACCCGGCCTACTGGTTCGCGCACCCACGAAGGTGCATAGCATGTAGTTGTAGATAGGGCTACCTGGGAGTCAGAGGGACCTGACCGCCAGCTAGGGGGGCGAGTTGTGATACCTTTGTGTGTGGACACTCTCGTTCCTTGTGTATGTATGTGTGAGTTGTGAGTAGAGCATGTCAGCGATGTATGATGTATGGCGATACTGAGTTGCACGACAGCTGTCATGGCTCGAGACGTTGGGTCGATTTGAGTTGAGACTCGTTGAGTTCGAATTGGAGTTGGGGAACGTTGGGAGTCGGCTAACGTTGGGCCGCGGCAGACGGGCGAGGAACGTTGGATGGTGTCGACACCTCCCGTGGGTTATATTCGTGGCAAACTCGAAGAACTGTCAGTTCTTCGAGTTGAGCCTTACGCGTCGGGGTTTTTCCCCTTAGCTTCGACTTTTAGTCTACCTACGAGTAGTGAGTTTGGCTCGACTCTTTGTGTATTGGTGTTTCGACATTACTTTTAGTTGTGATACCTTTGTGTGTGGACACTCTCGTTCCTTGTGTATGTATGTGTGAGTTGTGAGTAGAGCATGTCAGCGATGTATGATGTATGGCGATACTGAGTTGCACGACATACTTCCCTCCAATTGGTAAAAGTGGAGCTTTTGAAACCCTTCAAAATGCTAAGCGATTGTGATTGAAGAAGAAAGGGCCAGGCCACACAATCACTTGAGTAACTATCCCAAATTTGAGAAACTTATGGCTGCTCTGTGAAAGGCTCCATTCCTTCCTTATATTCAGGCAAGGTTGTATAAGACGACCATATGCGTAGTCTTAAATTACCTAAACTGTATTGTGATTAGTTGCCTGAAATTAATGAGTATGTGATTTGATGCCTACATGTTACAACCAATGGAGAGTGTACACTCATGCAAAATTGACAATTTTTTAATTTCTTTATTTAAATTAATGTAATTGAAAAAAATTCAAAAATAATAATTTTAGTAGACTAAATTAGCCTAAATTAAATTTTTAGAGCTTAGATTGGCTTTTATTAACTATTTAAGAGACTAAATCAACGTTTTAAGGAAACTAAATTAACCTAAATTAATTTTTTAGTAGAATAAATTAACTATATTTAGATAATTTAGACGAATGACTATTATAACCATTCTTGTTCATATTCCATCACAATCCTTAGAATGTCATAAAAAGCTATATGTAAAGTATACTAATGCATTCATATCATTCTATCCTCTCTAGCCTACTTGACAATGTGTCTTACCAAGATTGATTAGAGAGGTATGAGTTTCCGAAGTATTCATAGCCATCTAACTTCTACTGAAAAATATTCAGGAAACGGTGAGATCATGCAACATAGGCCGCATGATTAGAGCAAAACAAGTGATGTGGGTGTAGCAAAAAAGTCAAATAGTACACACCATTACCAGATAAAGAGGATAGTTACATGTGTAACTCAGAAAACTGCTTATGAATTGTTGAGAAAAGTATATTCACATATGAAAATAACGTCCATCTCTCTGGTAGGTGTATCATATTGCCAAAAACATGAAAGATTTTTGTGAAATTCTGTATATTCCGTATTTTGTTTTGAAAATTATCCTTATTTTGTTGAGATACGGAACATACAGAATCCGCCCTTTTTGAAAGGCTGCTGACGCGGTACAAAGATGACTCCCCTGACGAGCATTCTGCAGGATCATGCTTCAGACCAAGTGCAGAAAGTGTGGGGACCCTCTGATGTATGCAACATAATGACCTCCTGTGCCCGTGTGCTCTACTGTCCATCAGAGTCCAACATTTTCCTTCAAATCTGCACCCAGATCATAACCATTAGGGCCCCTAATTTAGGGGTGACCTGAACCCACCCATGCTATTCAAATTACACCAATTCTTGGTTGGATCTCGAAAAACGTTGCCCTTAGCATTACTGGTGCCCACCCATGGAAAAATAATGTCACCCAAAGTTCATGGGCATGGGTGGGTTTGGGCATATGCACCCAATGTTGGGCTCTGCTGTCCTTGTCAGGCGATACCGACAATTTTGAGAAGTAACATGACTGCGGACAATGAGGAGATTTGTCCATGTATTGCACATTAGTAAAAATATTTGACCATCTCTAGCTCCATGGACCTGAGTAATATAAATTCAATTGTTTCTGGCCAAAGTTTCCGAGCCCTAATGCCTCACTTACTTTGATTTTTAATAATGACTAAGGCTTACCCTTCTCCCGATTTATTAGCAAAAAATCATATGCAAGGTTATCATATAGAGCATGATCACGAACATAAAATAACGGATAGAAACGAATCAAAATTTCCACAAATGTAGGGCCCTACAAGTCTACCATACACTAATCCTTGAATAAACCGTCCTAACAAGATCTAGGTTTGGCTTTACAAGTCTCCATATTGAAACTAGAAAGATCAAATGCGAGGTTAGGGGCCTTTTCAATGACAAGCTCTGTCTAGAGTAAGAGTTCAGGGAGGCCTTCTAAAGGGAAGCTGAAACGATTCGAATCGTGAGCCAGGGATGTGACGTGGTTAATCCTGAATTACTTAATGATTTCTCGTGCACATGTTGCAGACGTTGACTCCTTTCTCCACATCGAGCTGGCCCAATCCTAGATCCCTGACGCGTAGGAAAAGTTCAGAGACTTCAGAGGCCGAGCTGCCCTCGGACTGGTGAGCTTCACAGCTCACCAGTCCGAGGGCAGATTCAGAAGCTTTCCGAACATTGGTCAGCTTAGAAGGCAGGAGGTTGCTGGTGATCTCAAACCCGAAGAGCAACAAACGAACGAACGGTGAGGTCAATTAATTATTTTCAGTTTGGAAACAGAGTGTATGTGCCGATGAATATTTGTGCGTGGTCGATTCATCAGTCTGATTTTTCAGGGCGAAAAGTAGTAGTAGGTCCATGATGGCTAGCAGGAAGCAGAAGATGGAACACGTTCTGCATTTGGAGCGCATAGATTTGATGGATGAGCTGATGGCTGATATGAAACAAGCTCGGAGTACGGCGAATCCGAAAATCTTCCACCCCTCGACTCGCGCGACTCAATCAGAGCAGTTATCGCCAGGGTTTATCTCTCTGGGTCTGTACAACAAGGACATTCAGGTGAAGGAGTCGACTACCATCGACAGGCACAAAGTCGAATTGAAGCTGGAGATGGCGGTGGTCTTCAAAGGAACTGTAAAAAAGAGCTGGACAGAAATCTGTCAACTGGTGGTCGAGAGCCCTGAAGACATGAAGAACATTTACCATGATTGCCCAATAGACGATCCACAGGCAGTCCGAAATATCCTCACCCTCGACGCAGTCTTCGTGACCTGCATGTTGCACACTCTCTCGGGCCTCCATAAATCAGAAGACTTGGTGCAGCCTCGCTTTGCGGAAATAGCAGAGGTGGTGCAAGATCGTGGCTTGAGTACATTAAGGTTCGGAGACCTATTCGATATCCTAGTCATCTTCCAGAATCAGATTCCGCTCCAGCTCATCACGAGGGTACTGGAGATTATGTATCAGAGTCGTCCCATGGAAGGAAGTAAGCAGGCCCAGAATTCATCTTCGCTATATTTTCCAGCTGATCCCAACGGTGTAACTCTAGAGATCGAGGGATTGCCTTTGAACTCGGTGGAAAGTGAACGCTCGACGGCGGTTATGGTGCTCAGAGACATAGCCGAAGTGGTGTGTGATGTGATGCAGTACGTTCTGCCCGGGCCATCCAACCTTTTCGAGCGCATCTCAACGCTAAAATCTGAAGATTACAGCCATCTTCTCGAATGCGTGTACTGGGGAGCTCTGCAACATAATACATGGGAGTGGCCTGATGAGAAAGATATCATGTATCCCATAGCCACAGCCACGCAGCTCCAGAAGGCCGGCATCAGTATTGTCAGAGGCTCTGGAAGCATAAACGACGTCAGATTTCGGAGAGGAATTTTCACAGCGACTCTCATCGTTCCACAGCTGCGCATCACGCCCTGGACGGAGATGATTCTGAGGAATCTGCTTGAATTCGAGAGCAGAGTGCTGAATAAAGGAGACCTGATGTGCTACCTGTCCTTCATGGATGAACTAATTGACACGGAGGAGGACGTTCTCCTCCTGAAAGAGAGAAAACTGTCGGTCATCGAAGTATCTCACCTGAGCAGTGACATCGACGTGGCCAACATCTTCAACTCACTGCGGTATCCCTCCTACATTGTGCCCATTTCCAAACAATGGGCAACAATACGGAAGGACATTCATAGCTTTTACAACAGTGACAAGCGGCTGTTGTGGGTAGAGTTCGTACAAATTTATTTTGGTCGGCCGTGGATTGCTGCTTCGGTGGTTGCTGCATTCGCCCTTCTCGTCTTGACATTCCTTCAGACCCTCTATACCGTAAAAGCTTATTATGAATCTGGCAGTCCGGCCACTAGCTAATGCATGGGCTACTCACAGGTGATCAAAACTGGACAGCGAAGCAGGAATTCAAGGTTTTCTGCATAGGAACAAATTAAGAATAGGTGTTAAGCAGACTTGGCTCTTAGATCAACATGACATGAATTTTCTGTTTTCCAGAAGCTCCGGGACTCAGAAGCAAGAGCTTTTGCAGAGTGCATCAGTTTCAAGCACCGTACTGTACATTTCTTTAGACCCTTTCTCATTAGGAAGATAATTTCCTCATTGTGTCCTAAGTCTAGAAGCTCTCTCAAGAGTATTATGGCTTGATTGCTTGTGCGGAGGAATGAATGAGCACAATTGAAAGATCTATTTGCTTTCCTGTGAGTGTGTGTATCATGCCACTTTCTTGCGAGTGTGACCTATATCCTGTGGTTCGATCCAAAACCGCATTCTCAGAAGCAATGGTTCACACACAAGACGATCCAATTCTGGAGATGTTTGTGACATATATCACATCGAACAACGCAATGATGATTTGCACTCGTCTTTTCATTTACTGTTTACCCTGGTTGTGTGAATATAATCAGCTGTAAATAACGGTAGCATTCTCTTACCTAATCACAATGTCTTAATGCAATAGGTATAATTTCATGACCCGTTCTCTTTAACGTGAAATGTATGTTATGTCAAGATAGAGTTATGTTTACCCTGGAATGAAATATGTAACGTAACTATTTGAATTATAATTTGTATCATTGAGATGACATTGGAATAATAATTGACAATCTTATTATGATATTCAAAATGTGTTACATCTTGTTAAAAATTATATCATGAATGGTAGAGTTAAAAATATTTTTTTATCAGAATTGCAAAATTTGACAATAAAATTGAACCAATGGATTGGACACTAAACTCAATCCAAATCATACAAATTTTTCAATAGTAGCACAAAAACAATTTACTAGCAATTTTGTTAATTTTATATATTTCTTTAATTTATTCAATTTTAGTTGCGAGTAAATTCTAGTTATCTCAAGTTACCTATGCTAAATTTCTTTCTAAAATTTTATGTAAAATAATTATTTAAATATGGAGGCTAATTATCCTATAAATAGTTTAGTAAACCCATAAAGCCTTATAGATTAAATAAACCCCAATGAAGATATTGTTGAAAATAAACTGAAGTTAAATCTAGGAATTGACTAGTTATCACTCCTTTTAGGCAAATTACCCATCACCCTACTATTCTTGTGTTTAGATTAATTTTATCTCACGTTACTATACTAGGGTGAGGTATAATTAGCCAAGTTCCACCACTTGGGTAGGACAAGTTCTACCCAAGGGACCTTACTAGACGTACCAAGTTTATACTTGGGCCCCGTTCTTCGAGCTACTTGGGCTTTGAAATACGACGTTATAGAGAGAATTGATGACAACTGCGCGTCGATATCTGCTTGGATGGAGGGCGGTTCTTGAACCTTCAACAAGTCTGAACTAGAGCTTTACATCATTGTGGTAACCCACTTTTTGTTTTTGGTCGGAATAAGAACATTTTTTGGAAAATAAGTACCGCGGCAGCAACTGTAAATAGTAATCGGTATATAAAATAGAGTAAAAAGGGAGAATCGTGGGTCACGGAGAATCTAGGAGTTGGGGGGGGGGGGGGGGGGGAGGAGGAGTGTAATGACCCCCTAAAGGCTAAAACTGCAATATAGTGGTAGAAAGGTCGAACCCACAGGGACAGAGGCAACACATAGGGTACAAAGTGTCACATTTAACAGACTATTGAAGAGTTTGAATTCTCAGGCGACTGTCACTCCCAGAAATACTGCAAGTGTTCACTCGGAGCTCACTCGGAGGTCGCACAGTGCAGCGTAGTTCACTCAACACACACACACACACACACACACCTGAAACTACAGAAACACAACCCAGAGATCGGTTAGATTCATTCACTGCTGAGCACTGGGTAAATAATACCAACGCTCAGGTACTTATCTATCTCCTCCTTAACTAGCAAGGAGTATTTTGGGTTGAGGCGATACTGGCGCTGACGTATGGGTACTGCTTCGTCCAGTAAATCGATACGGTGTTCTCCATACCGTGCAGGTATCCCCTTCATGTCTTCGATCTTCCAGGCGAAGACGTCGACATAATGGCTAAGGAATGTCTATACCTCCCTTAGCTCGTCTTCTCTCACTGTGCTTGATACCTTCAAGCACTTGTCGGGACTGAGTTGTACTTCGTGACAGTCACTAGGGTCGACAATGCCCTCGGTGTGACTCGTCTCACTCCTTCCCAGTCCTACCGTTAATTGCTATTCGTCCTCCGGCTGAATAGCTTCCGGCTCTTCTTCTTCTTCCACTGAACAGCAGGCAACGAATCCCACGAAATAATCGGATTCAGTGTCACTGGAATCTGATCGCACGGTCGAATCACTGTCCACCCCCGATGTGTAACCCGCACTTGTCGATGGGGTCTCCCCTTCATGTCGGACCTTATTCCAGGGCACCGTGATAATCTTGGTTGGCTCCGAAGGATGGGGAACCTTAAGGCGATGCCTACGCCAGTCACATCGTACTTGTGCGCCATACAGCCATGGTCGCCCGAGCAGAACGTCATAGCCTTGCTTCATCATCGGTTGAAGGATGATATAAGTCAACCGGAAGTCTGCACCACCGATGATCGTTTTGACATTGCGCAGCATACCTGCAGGCATTCTCCTTGTCTGATCCGCTAATCTCAACACACGCCTCGAGGGTTCGTATTGACTGAACCCCAAGGCTCTTGCGGTGTCCTCCGTCATTATGTTGACTCCTGACCCAGAGTCTACTGGTACCCTGCGTACACAACACCCTGCTATTTCCACATTGATCTCTGGTGGCCCTTGGTCTTCGCTGGCCACTTGGTACACTTGAGAGGATTTGGATGCGCGTGGCTTCCGCGGACGTCGTAACGAAAGCATCAACATCCTTCGATACGTCTTGTTGTCCTCAAGGAGCTGGTTGAACGTGATGTTCACTTTCCGACTCCCGAGATCTTCGACTAAGTCATAGTGGACGCGTTGGGTCGCAGGGGTCGGGGATGACGCCCTGCGAGGTTCCAAAGTGGCTGCCAACTTCACCCCAAAGGAGGGTGACAAGTCTGGCCGCGGTGGGTCCTTTTGGGTGCGGATTGCTTCCTTCAACAGGTTCGTTACCTCGTTGCTGATATCCGGGGCATAGTCCCGTTTCAGCAAGCGTACTGGCTCATCCTCGACCGATGTCTGGGGGCGCACTGCTGGTGCTTCTCGCGTACCCGAAGACTTTCGTGCAGGTCGCAAGTCGGACTTGCTGGATGCCTTCTCCTTCCCTTTTCTCGTCCGGTCGTCGGCTCTCCGTTCGTGCTTGCGAGTGTCGCGCTCTTGTTCCTTCGATTTCTTGGAACTACGAGTTTCGACTCGTGCGCACATAACCTCTTCCGCCAGCCATTCTTCGTCTTCGTCATTTCCGTCCGAACCTACTTCGACCTGGTTAACTTGGACGTCCTCCTTGGCAGGAGTGGTCACAAATCGTACCGATGGCCGAGGGACTGGTGGCTGATCACACTTTGGCGCAGTATGCCCGGACTTCTTGCAGTTACTACATGTCGGCACATAATCGTTTCGCCTTTTGGGATGGGGGCACTGAGGTGAGAAGTGTCCAACTTCCCCACAATTATAACAAGCTCGCGGTGGCGGTGGGTCAAACGTCCCTGGAGGTGCCCTTTGCCTCACGGGTACCGAAGTGGCCCGATCTACCGGATGATATCGTGGAACCTGCATTGCTGAAACTGCAGTAGGGGCGGGGACCGACTGGACGGCGTAGGCTATCTCTTCGCTCGCCTCTCCATAGTACTGGGGGTGTTCTCCATAGTACGGTTGTGCCCACTCCACTGCGTTGACTGGATATGACGGACGGGTGGTAAGACACTCGGTGTTCGCATGTCCCACCGCTCCGCACGTAGTGCACCACAAGTTCGCCCGCACTCTCCCGGGTGATTTCCGGCGATCATGGCCGCCTACTACGGACTACGGAGTGACTACGGATTTCATCTTCGAGGCTATGTCTCCCGGCGCTCTGTCCGTAGTCACTCGTCGGGTGCCCTTCTTCTTCGCTGCCCCATGCTTCTTTCTCTTCTTCTCTTCCTCCGACGATGAGGTTTCCTCTTCTTCGGATGAGGAACGGTTCTCGTCCGAGGACGGTTCTTCCGATGACGGAGTTGCACCTCTGCGTCGTCTTCGTCCTCCCTTCGGTTTGTGCTCCTTTGACTCCCGTCTCTCTCTCCCTCTTCGGTTGAGAGTGGAAGTCTCGAAGGCTTCGGCCGATGCAATCACATCCTCAATAGTATCGCACTTGCTGCGTCGGCAAAAAGTCTCCATCTCCCGAATTAAGCCGGTCACGTACCAATCCACAGCTTGCTGTACCGAGAAAGGGGACCCTGGTCCTGTTTTCGGTATTCTGTCAAGGAGGTCCAGAAATCTCTCAGTGTAGTCACACATACTTTCCTTCTTCTCTCGCTGCAGGTTACGCAACTTTGTCAATACCCGACTGTCGTAGCCGAGCTCGCGGAAGCGTCGAAGAAACTTCTCCTTCAGCTGAGCCCATGTTGTCAACCCAGTCGGATCGATGCTCTCGTGATTGTACCAACTCCTTGCTTTCTTCCGTAGAAGACTTGGAAAGATCCGTAGTCGGTCCTCGTCTTGGATCTCGCGATTAGCAATGGACACCGATTCGAACAACTTGATGTAGGAATCTGCATCATCGTCATCCCCACTCCCTTTATACTTTGGGTAGGAATGTTTAGTAATCGGCTGAGGTAGCCGCACATTGGCTTGTCCGTCCGCCATCGGTGTGTCTGTCGACGGTTCTCGGGCGGTCGGTTCTAAATCACGAGGGGGGTCCGTGCAAGGAATATCTAGTAGAACTGTAAGCACCAAGTTTGGTTCCGAGTCACTGGGGGTAGGTTCCCCAAGGATGTCGGCCGAACTAGGCTTAGGTACTCTTTTTGGTGTTTTCTTGTTTTGACGCCGTGTCTCTTCCACAGCCTTCTCTGAATCTCGTCGGAACCTGCGGGCAGCTCTCGCACTTAGGTTGCTCCCACTAGCTCCCGTCGACATTCACCGAGCATGGCTGCTCGTAAAAACCCCGGTGTTGACGCAACTGTCCCCGGCAGCGGCGCCAAAAAGAAGTTGTCGGCTTCTTATGTAATAACCCACTAAAGGCTAAAACTGCAATATAGTGGTAGAAAGGTCGAACCCACAGGGACAGAGGAACACACAGGGTACAAAGTGTCACGTTTAACAGACTATTGAGGACTTTGAATTCTCAGGCGACTGTCACTCC